AGTCTTCAGTTTGTGCATGTAACCTCTTCTGTCTTTTTATTGAGGACGAAAACAGACAGAATGAAATATATGAATACATCTTTAAATAAATACTTCAGTATGTCATTAATTAATTAAAATGGGAATTACATAAATACTTCATTAAATATGTAAATAATTTAGTAAAATACCAGTTCATTTAATGTAAAAACATATTTTACTATTTAATAATCATTTCATGGACCTGTGTCGCAGTGCTTCATGAGTTTATTTTATCCGTCAAACTCAACCGTCAATGTCAGTAGGCGGGACTAATGCAGATCTAGTATGATCCATTATTTTGGTCTTTTCAAAACACAGCGTCTAAGGAGGATATGCTCCAACTGTTGGGAGTTGGTAATTGGTATTTTAGACCTTGCAGAGCAGAGTGTGTGGAAGCCTTCGTCCACTAGAGTCTTTTCGTCCTCCATATCTTTTGCCCCCATACCTGAAAAAAATTCTCAAGAAAACACTGTCTCTAATAACACTAATGAACCTGGACCCGTTTTTATAGACACTAAAAAATTCTGTCTTACTTGCAAGATGACGCTCATCTGAATGATGGGTATTTTATCGCCTTATTTAAGGTAAAAGGTATTCAAGGTATTTAAGGTAAAGACAGACGAGACTGACAGCAGTAACTCATGCAACCAACATTCAGCATGTGTGAATATGACAAAAGCACATCAGGCTCCACAATTGGTCTGAATCCAACCCCAGAAACTACATATCCGTGAAATAAACAGGTTTCATGTGTACAAACAACACTAGGTGCGCGCAACCATGGGGTATTGTTTGCAAGTTCTCCCTGACACAATTGCAATAAAATGTCATTTCATTGAGAAATCGCTTTGTCTTTCATTGCATCAAAATCAGAAAAACACTTGCTGAAATGTCCATGAATTTCACTCAATTTACCTGGTTTTGAAGTTCTTTTAGATGTTTCTAATTTCTCCGTTGACTCTGCTAGTAAACAAATAAGAAATGTCCCACTTTCTGCCCCATGGCTGCGCGCATACCTGTGATGGTGTTGCACAGAAACCCGTCTATATCTACTTTTATAACCTCCTATGTAACTTCAGGCCGTACATTGGTAAGTATTCTCTGCCTCTGTTTCTTCTCATCTTTATGAGGCCATGTAGTGTTGGCTGCTGCACCTGATGGTGAGTCTACAAAGTCAGGCTCATCGAAAAGCATCCGGCTTCCATTTCCGCTCTGCTATAAATCACTCTCACACAGGATAACATGTAGTGATCTGTGCATTCCTTTAGACCAGCACACAGTCATCCTTACCTTCAGCTGTGGTGTTAAATTTGAGGATTATCTCAGGGTGAAATCCTTCCCTTCAGCAGACAGAGACTGATGACAAGCTGGAAATGGCCCTCCCTTTGGCCCACCTACAGTATAACTTCTCTATGGTCATCTCAGTCTGTCTATCCCGCTCATTCTGCTCCCCTTCGTAGACATCTATCACCTCACTGCGGCCTTCTTCTCATATATCTCCCCTGGTCCCTCCATCTCATCTCTCCGTCTGCTCTGTTCATCCCATCCCTCCAACCTCCTGCCCATACATTTAAGAGCATCTGAAGCCCACAGCGTACCATCTTGTGTTGGCCCATCCATCATGGCTGACTGTAGGCCAAACAGGTCCGGGAGAAAAGGCGCTTTGATTTAAGTCTACCTTGCTCTAGGCTTGTCAGGCTGCTCTACGGCGCCCCAGATGGTTTTAAGACCAAAAACCCGGGAGATCAGTGATTTAAGTCCATCTGGAGATGAGCTATTAGAGGTCTTTTCTTACCTGTTTCAGAGCCTTGAACAAATCTGTTTGCATAATTTGGATTCTCTCGAACAAAAGAGAAGAAAAATCAATCAAGGCACACACCTTCAGGCCCCTCATGTGAATATGTCGGTTAAAAACATGAACTGAAAGAAAGAGTTGTAATTCAACTTCAAACATTCTGCATAATAATAAGTGGAGCCAAATAACAGCCTAACAGCATTAGATGAATATATGATAGTGCTGTGAGATGCTGTCAAAGAATATTCCATATAATAAGTATATTATAAAAAAATGTTAATAAAAGGAGGTTAATAAAAGTCAACAATCTATTGTGGACATCTTCAAGCAACAATTCAGGTCTCCTGTGGTGAAGAGACTCCTGGCAGTCCCACCTCTTCTTTACCATTACAGGTGTCAGAGTCCAATTGTGAATCCTGTGACTGCTGTGATTTTAACACTACTCCCTGATCTCAAACTGTGCTGATTCACCATCTAAGCAAGTTCAACATGAACTCTGTTGTACTGTTCTTTGTAGCTGCTTTTTTGAATGTTTTTGCTATATATTGTTTTAATATTTGCAGTGGTTCAAATCCTGTGTTTCTTTTGGAGGAAATATTTAATAGTAATAATAATAATACATTTTATTTGTAAAGCGCTTTTCAAAAACACAAAGACGCTGTACATGAGTTAAGCAATAACAATAAAACACACATCAATAAGCACTAAAATTTACAACAATATCAATAAAAATGTGTAAAATCAGGTAAAATCCAATGGGGGGGCTAAGGAGGATGAAAGGCAGTGCGGAAGGGGTGGGTTTTGAGAAGGGTCTTTAATCTGGTGAGGTCAGTGCAGTTTCCGAGTTCGAGTGGGAGTGAGTTCCAGAGGGTGGGGGCGGCGACTGAGAAGGCTCTGTATTTGAACTTAAATTGGGCCAGTTTTGACAGCTCCAGTTCTGTGTTGGCTTCAATTGCGTCTTAAATGTTTGATTTATGTCAAGAAGAAAAATGAAAGTGTTTAATCATGAAATATCTCCCCAAGTTGTTATCAAAGCGTCAGTTCTGATTTCCTTAAATGTCCAATCAATGTCCTCAGTCTCTATTAAATTCCTTGTCAAGTGGTCTTCATCACGTCAAGCCTCATTTACAGCATTAAAACCCTTCAGATCCATGAATAATTAGTATGTAAATAATCCTTGAGAGCATCTTAAGAGCCCATTTTAGATTTAACACAAGTACTTCTAAAATTCAAATAAGTACATAGTCCTCAGCAGTAACCTCCAGTTTACTGTCCGCATTTCAACCCTTTTAATGTCCGACTGGCTCCAAAACAGTTTGCTTTCTACATTGAGATTCCAGGCAGCATGTGAAAGACCAGCCAAGTCAGAAGACATAATTTGGATGAAGATAAAAAGTGGAACTTGTTTGCTCTGAAACTGGAGTGAAAAAGCGGAAAAAAGTGACAGCACAGAAGAGAAAAGTGTAGTTTTTACTCCGTATTATGATAAACAAGTTTGGCAGCAGAAGCTGTGACTCAGCAGGTCCTTTGTACATCATCTACTGTCTAAACCAATGTGTTATCAGCATATTTCCATATATTCTGTTCAGATGTATTGCTTCTGCTGTTTAGAGAGAGTTCTGACAAAAGTAGATGTACGTTACAATTTTCTAACCTGTTTTTCAAAAAGCTGGAGCGGTATGCTGAAAATGAACAGAGTAGGATGGGATGAATTGAAAAACTCTGCAGTTTTTTAGACAATCCAAAACAGCAAAAAACACCACTTATCAAATTTTGAAGTACTTGTTTTGACTCTCTTTCCAGAAACACATTTCAAAAAAGTTATGAGTGGAACATTTTAGTCTCCTCTATTCCATCAGCAGAGACCTCTGCGGGGATCCATCTGTCATTGAGCTGAAATAACTCACTCAGGCCAAGGTACGGGCCAATGAGCAGGGGCGTGTCCGGACCCTTTTGACTGGGGTGGCCCAACCTCTGCATGCACTGATACTGCTGGGGTGGAATGAAGTATGTGAGCCCGCACACCAATGAAAAACATTATTTTTGCAGTTTTATAGTAAGACTGAGAGTACAGGAACATACAAAGTCCCACCTCTGACAGCAAAAATGTCAAGAAAGAGGATGCTTTTAGTTTTTTTTTTTTTTTTTTCATTTTGCACAATGTTAATTTTTTTAAGTCTCCTATGTCCCAATAGATAAATAAATAAATGAATAAAAAGGCTAAAGCTTTTATTAGCCTTTCCATTATTTATTTATTAATTGGGTAATGAAACAGATCAAAGTCAACCTTGATGTCTACAGCTGATCTAAATAAGTGAACATCTCAAACGACAGGACTGATTATTTCTAAGGCTAATTGTGGATGCCTTAAATTGCTGCTGTAACATAGATGGCAGATGACTGTTGATGGTTAAAGAAAAAGGAAAATATATATCTTTGAAAATCTTTGGAGAGGTTAGAAAAGAAATACAGGGGGGGCCAAAACTGATGGAAAAAGTCCCTCGGAAGAGCTTTTCACCCAGCATTGTATCAGTAAAACAGTAATTATGCCTGTATGACGCAGAAAAAGACAGGGCCACAATAACATTTACAGAAAGGAAGGGAAAAAAAAACAAAGGCGTACAAATGATAAATGAAATCAAATTACCTGACACAATGGAGACATAACAAAAGGTAAAAGAGGCTTTCAGATGTGGCAGATTAACAAAGGCACACTGATGCTTAAGGTGGGTGGATGACACCGAAGCTCAGAAACATGTTGAGCAAACACTTACAGAAAACAGTATTTTAGAGCTTGTACTGAAGACAAAAGGTTACAGAACAGATGATGTCTGAAGCTTTTCACATTTACAGTTCTCTGGATCTAGAAAGTTTGATAGCGTAGAAAGTTTGACACTTTTTTTTAAGTAATGATTTTAAAATTACAGACTTATTAACTCCTAGCCAATGTCTGTACATCACAGCGAGCTCCTGTCTCTTAATGATTAAATACGTCAATGGAAAATAAAGCCTGTGCTCATGCAACAGGTGGCCATTTATTTGAATTCCACCTGATCAGATATCAAGAGAACCAACTTTTAATTCATGTATTTTGTTCCACATGATGTTCTATCACAGTTGAACCAGGGCAAGAATACAAAAAATGTTTTGTTTCTGAAGAGAAAATAAATACACAATTATCCTGCCAACTGGACCCCCTCCCCACTTCCCTGGTCAAATCCTGTCTACCCTCTCTACTCCCCCTCATCTCAGTCATCATCCACTCCTCACTGTCGACTGGAACTGTTCCCACCCCCTTCAAAACTGCAGCCATCAGTCCTACCCTGAAAAAACCTGGTTCAGACCCCAACGACTTCAATAACCTCCGCCCCATTTCCCACCTCCCATTCATCTCCAAAATCTTAGAAAAAACAGTTGCCTCTCAACTCCACACCCACCTCACCCACAATAGCCTGTACGAACAGTTCCAGTCCGGTTTCCGCCCCCTCCATAGCACTGAAACAGCCCTCATCAAGATCATCAACGACCTCCTCATGGCAGCTGACTCCGGTCTAATCTCCATCCTCATCCTCCTTGATCTGAGTGCGGCCTTTGATACCATCTCTCATCCCATCCTCCTCCATAGACTCTCCTCCATAGGCATTTCTCACACCCCCCTTCTCTGGTTCCACTCATACCTCACTGGCCACACTCAGTTCATCCAACTCAAATCATTCACCTCTCAGCCCTCCCCTGTCACTTCAGGTGTGCCCCAGGGTTCTGTCCTGGGGCCCCTCCTCTTCATTATTTATCTCCTTCCCCTCGGCAGCATCTTCCGCAAATATGGCATCCACTTTCATTGTTTCGCGGATGACACCCAGCTCTACCTCTCCAGCAAACCCGACGCCTCTCTCCCACCCTCCTCCCTCACCCACTGCCTCTCAGAAATTAAATCCTGGTTCACATCAAACTTCCTCAAACTCAACTCTGATAAAACAGAACTCCTCCTGGTCGGTACTAAGTCCACTCTCTCCAAAACTAACAGTTTCTCCCTCACCATAGATAACTCCACAGTGTCCCCTTCCCCTCAGGTTAAGAGCCTGGGTGTCATCCTCGACAGCTCACTATCTTTCCACTCCCACATCAATAACATCACCCGGTCTGCATACTTCCATCTACGAAACATCAACCGTCTCCGCCCATCACTCACTCCTCACACCACAGCTATCCTAGTCCACAGTCTTGTCACCTCCCGTATCGATTATTGCAACTCACTCCTCCTCGGTGTCCCTCACAAATCCCTCCATAAACTTCAACTTGTCCAAAACTCTGCAGCCCTTATCATCACCAGAACTCCCTCCTTCCACCACATCACCCCTGTCCTTCAGCAGCTTCACTGGCTCCCTATCCGGTCCAGAATCCACTATAAAATCATACTATAAACCTTCAAGGCCATCCATAACCTTGCCCCCCCTTACCTCTCCGATCTCCTCCACATCGCCACCCCCTCACGCTCCCTCAGATCCTCCTCCTCCCTCCACCTTTCTGTCCCCTCTGCCCGACTTGGCACCATGGGGAGCAGGGCTTTCAGTCGCTCTGCTCCCAAACTCTGGAACTCTCTCCCCCCGGATCTCAGAAACATGGACTCACTACCCCACTTCAAATCAAAACTCAAAACACATCTGTTCCAAATTGCATATTCCCTTTAACTGTCCATTTCCATACATGTATATTGTTTTTATTTATTTTAAAAGTGTTTTAACTGTGTTCTTAATGCCTGTACAGTGTCCTTGGGTGTCCAGAAAGGCGCTTTCAAATAAAATGTATTATTATTATTATTATTCGTGACAAAGGCTAAAAAGCTGTCTATTCCAAGGCTTTAGGGGAACAATAAATGTAAAATGAATAATAAATCATATAGTGGCCTGATGTGACCACTCCAATCAACCTTGATAATGGGTCTGGATGTGTTCAATTAAATATCCTTTTCCCAGGGGCATTAGCAACAGTTAATGCCTCTGGAAGTGACTAAAAATTAAAACAGACAGCAGCATACATTTACAATTACACTATTAAGTTCATTGAACGACCACAAAAACAGAATCGACAAACCTTGCAGCGGTGGAAGCTGCCATCTTTGTTTTCTGTAAAAAGAAGCTTGAGGCAGCTCTCCTATGTTATCTCACAGAACCTGTCCTGTTTTTAAATGAAAGACTGTGATTTGCTCGGTGTAACCTGAAGTTGGCAGGGGGCTGTTCGATATGACAGAGGCTGCAGATCCACCTGCCATTAAACATATATAAGTTGTGTCATGGGTCTGGTGGCACCATGCTTATACAATGGAGAACCAACTGTACAATTTAAAGCAGATAACTGGAGATAATAAAGTTAGCCAATATCTCTCTTAATACTCAGATATCATCTTATGATCATATATCAGAAACATGCACACTGACTGGCCATTATGCATAGCAGTGTTGACCTGCAGCCCTCCACTGTTGTCCTGCTTGGTGTGGAATCTGTACTGATAAAAAGACATTGCATTTAAGGCTTTGCCACCGGAGAGAAGCAGTTTACATACCTCGCTGTGAATGGGTGGATTCCAGCTTTTTCTTATACTACAAAGACGTGCAAGATGTTTTTGTGGCCAGAGGAGGAAAAAGAACTTTCTCCGCCAGATGGATCTTCACCACACTGCTGCTAATGGATGATTGCTGTATTTTCATACTAGGTGGGCGGATGGGTTATGGATTGTGGTGCACTTTTTGGGGATATTGCAGGTCATTATTGCAGGCATTCCAAGGGTATACCAGGTGACTGAATTACTACAGTTTTCCAATAAGGCACTAGGAGCGGGAAAAAAAATTGATACAGCATAGTATTGCGATATTTTGTCTGGTAATATATCGTATCGTCTCATTGACAAAGTATAGATTTTTTCAAATTAAATGCTAATATGAAGTTAAATCTATGATAATGGAAAAATAAAATCAACTGTTTGTCCAGTGAGGTTGGAAAGGTGATATCATAGAGCAGGAGAAAGTTAGTACAACAAATATATGTAAGGTTTGCAAGATGTGCTACACGAAAATAAGATACTGTGTAAATAAGACAAACATTAAGGAAAGACAATGCTAAATTATAAATCACAAAATATTGTTTTGCAATACTCACTGTAGCGGAAGATGTTAAAAAAGATATTGTATCGTGGCCCAAGTATCGTGATAATATCATATTGTGGGGCCACTGGTGATTCCCACCCCTAGAAAGGACTACAGAAGTTATTTCAAGCGTATTCCCCACAGAGTAGGAGTAGGTTGGGTTCCCTCTGACCTCTTGTAACCCCTCTCAGCAGGGAAATTCTAAGAAATAGAAGGAAAGCTCACCCGAGCTCATCAAACTACTGCTGCATCACGATAGTGACATCCACCTGTCACCGCTCCCCTCTCCAGACATGATTCTAATTGAGCGTTTACCGCACATGAAATACGATGCTCCGCTGTACTCCATCACCACAAGGTGGGCAGAGCGAGGCAATGAATAAACCCTGGTGTGACAGTAGTGATGACGGTTGATCTTGCCCTGCAGGAGATGAGTTAGCAATTTCATGCCAGCAGAAAACACCCATCACCATTAGAAGAGCTGCACTCACTGAGGAATTGCTGCCATTTCGATCATTTTGACAATACCAAAAGGGAATCAAGACGAGAGAGAGATGGCTTGGTGGACAGGAAAGGGGAAAGTTAGACTTTGAAGGCGGGTAAATGACAAATGTCGGGTTGGTGTGAGATGGTGTGAAGTGGAACAGTTAAGTGACTGATACAGGAGTGAAGTGCAGGGGCTTCCTGTTGGTTAAACTTTGATTTTAAGATTATAACATGTTCACAGTCGACAACAGAAGAGCAGATATCAAAGTAAGCTCAGCTTCACCCTACTACTCAACTAGAAATTCATTCTTGGTTGGCTCAGCACAACTCTCTACGTGAAACTGATTCCAATTCTTACACTTGAGCACTTTTCGACAGTGATTTAACCAACAGTATCATCAGGAAAAGAGAAATGCATGTGGGAAAACCAGTGGTTGCTGTTGCTTTGATATCTAAGCAAAAAGTTCACTCTGTGTTCGCAAGCCCTGAAATCACCTTTACCAAAACTGTAATCTGATGTTTTTGTAGTCACATGTAGGCCAACGAAGATCACCCCATGTACTGATATTAGAAATTCCTAGGACCCAGTTTCAGGTGTTCAAAGGAAGTACAGACACTGGCTTGTTTGTTACTTGCTGATACTCAATCAATCAAACTTTATTTATAAAGCACTTTTCATACAAGAAATGTAGCACAAAGTGCTGTCCATTGTGTCAGGGGAAACAAAATAAAAACTAGGGCCCCGTTGGGGCACTGGCGGGCCCGAGCCATGTCGCGCTGCCCCCCCCAACGCGCTGCCTCCCCGTCCCATTCGCGTCCTCTGGCCATCGTCCTCTCTGGTAACGCCCATCACTGCAAAGACCCTTTCCTTCATCGGCGTTTGCTGTTCTTCCTGCCAGTGCGTGTTGCTTTCACTTACACTTGCCACAGCCAGCCTCGTGAGTGCCTAGCCTATTGGATATCACTGTCATCTACACAGGACAGTCATAACCTTTCTATTAATACTTTGTTTTTTAATTTCACATTAATTTCCATATTGTATAAATGACTGGAAAAAACTTGAGCCCCTGCCCCTGTATAATCATGTGCACGTCCCTGTTCTAGCTCCAAGGTGAATCTTCACTGCTCATGTTCTCCTCAGAAATAGTCACCTCACTCCCCTCAGGTTACTGTACACATGCACCAACTATCTGCTTCAGGTTTGGATGGAGCTTCATGGTTGTCTTTTGGAGAAATGAACAGTCAAGTTGTGTTTGAAATTTGATTTTTTTCAGGGGCAAAAGGAAGCCTCTGCATTCTTGTCAAATATGTAAACAGCATGTTTTTGCAGGTGCTAAAAAACAGACTCTGAGTGTGTGTGTGTGTGTGTGTGTGTGTGTGTGTGTGTGTGCGTGTGTTGGCGTGTGTGTATATGTGTGTGTATCCTGCAGTACTCTGTACTCCTGCAGTGGCCAAAAAGACTTTTAAGAATGTGGATTTTTGGGTCATCTTTGGCGCCCCCTAGAACTGCAGTACTCTGTACTCCTGCAGTGGCCAAAATGACTTTTAAGAATGTGGATTTTTGGGTCATCTTTGGCGCCCCCTAGAACGTAAACCGTGGGGTGCAGCGTCATGATTTTTACAACTTTGAATGGGCATGGGGTGTAGATTGCCCTGAGCAAATTTGGTATCGGTGGGACGAAAGCCTTAGGAGGAGATAGCCACATTCCAATGTGTGCGAATCGGCAAAAAATGCAAAATAGCCCTTTAACCGTACATTATACAGATACGCGCTCTTTGACTTTTTCGTAGATCTAATTGAGATACACATGATTGTCAATTTTTGTGTCAATATGACAAAGCGTTCAGGCGTGACACTCAACAATGTGTATTTTTATGTAAGGGGACAAGAAAAAATGGACTTTTTTCTCCTGCCATGGGGGGGCGCTCTTTTGGGGAGTAAAAATTCCTTCACAAATGTGTTGATGGCTGGACATTGCATCATCCTAGAAAACTTGGAGGCCAGTGAGGACAAAAATAAAAAGTTATAAGACTTTTAAATATGTGGATTTTAGGGTTGTCTTTGGCGCCCCCTAGAACCTAAACCGTGGGGTGCAGCGTCATGATTTGAATAACTTTTAATGGCCATGGGGTGTAGATTGGCCTGAGCAAATGTGGTGCCGGTGGAACGAAAGCCTTCGGAGGAGTTAGCGAAATTCCAATGTGTGCGGATCGGCAAAAAATGCGGAATAACCCTTTAACCGTACATTTGACAGATACGCACGCATTGACTTTTTCG